ATATCGAAAGTTGCCCAGATTTGCTATTAAATGACTGCATAATTGCCATCATGAATGTTCAACATGCCGCGTCACATTGCGCCTGTGCTACAGAGCATGGCACAAAGAATGACAAGCCATAGTACATTGCCATGTTTTTAAAACTTTGAGATTTTTTAAACTATTTTGGCTCATTTTATTTTTCTGAGATATCTCATGCTTTCATAATATTATTTTACCTTAATTAAAGGTCTGATGAATGGTTTTAACTTATTTTAAATTAACAAAAGTTGATATTTTATTATTTTAAATTGCAAACTTGGTAATTTTTTATGGATTAATTTCTTGATTACCTTAGCTTTTGGAGTCAATTGCAATTAGATGAGGGAGATATTTTAACTTGTCATCAGACTTTACAGACATGAATTAATTATTGTGACACTAAAAGAAGCATTAATTGTTAATTAAAAAAAATTAAGTTTTTCAATTTATTTACAATAAAAAGTCTCTTCATCATCCTTGATCCTATCAATCTTATTAGTAAAATGAATAATTAAACATTGATATAGAATAGTCAAAGTTTACCACCACTTAACAGTTGTCCATGTTTTGGTGAGGGACCATTTGGTTGTGCGTGGGATGTTAGTCCCTCACGTGACTCTCACCTGTCACTCATCAGCCTCAATCTTGCACATTTCCATTAGGTACGTCCTAGGATTTGTTAATTCTCAAAACCACAATGGCTTTGGATGATACTCCATCTAATATATTTAAGAGATAACATAAAATAATATTCATGGGTTAATGATTTTGAGCCATTATGTGGCGCAACCTAGCTTGTCTAAAAGCTTCACTGATTAGAAGGTAATCACGTTCGATACCTAATCTCATTGTCTCTAAATTTATATTCCATCTATTTAAAAATATAAAATATTTTTAATTAAATTTCATCCTTTAATAAAATAATTACTTACTTTTAAATTAATTCCATCTTTTCATATTTTTTTCTATTAAATATTTTATAATAAATATAAAGTCATTCATTAATACAGTACTTAAAAAAATAATAATTATATTTTAAAAGATTAAAAATATCTTACATTTTTAAATATCAAACTCCTCAAAAAATATTTTATATTTTTCAATTGAGTTTAAATTTGGAATGCCTGAATGAAGTGCATTTTCAGAAATGCCCCCAGTTTTTCCTTTTTTTAATCTTTTGCCATTGCATCCAACTCTTTTTTTTTAAATTGATACCTTCAGTACCATCCTAACTTTCTTTTCTTCCTTTTCTTTTTTTTTTTAAATGAATCTAATGTTTTCTTTTTTCTTTTTTCTAGATGGATATGGTACATATAAAACTTAAGATACTTAAAAATAAAAAAAATATTTTATTTTAATTAATAATATTTTTTTATTTTTTAAAATTTATATAAATAATTTTTAATATGAATAGTTATAAAATACAAGCTCTCCTTTTATTTTTTAAAATTATACGTGTCTGAATGAACAGTGCACTGCTGAAAATGCCCCCAATTTTTCTCCTTTTTTTTTTTTTAATCTCCTGCCATTGCATCTGACTTTTCTTTTTTAAAATTGGTACCATCGGATGCTACTGCACATGTACAGTACCATCCGAACTTTCTTTTATTTTTACTTTTTATGAATCTAATGTTTCTTTTTTTTTTTAAATATTCATATTACATAAATTATTTTATATTTATTTTATAATAAAATATTTTATTAAATAAAAATAAATATAAAAAATAAATTTTTTTAATTGAAGATGAGATTTAATTAAAAATACTTTATGTTTTTAAATAAAAAATATATATATATCTATATAAAAATAACTTTTTAATATTAATATTTATTTTTTAAAAAAATTAAATTATTCCCAAGCACGGGGCATAAATCTAGTTTTCTTGAAGTTGCGATTTGGCAAAGACGAGGAATCTTGGGCTTTGTTTCAAATCTTTTTGGTGGGCTCAAATTATCAAAATCTTTATTTATATTGACAAAATTAGAATTAATATCAACAACGATGGAGAGACTTTTTTCCCCTAAAAAAATCAAAAGAATTTGAACTTTTGAAAATATTATCTAAATTTTAATAAACTCGTGGTTCTTCATAAATTAGTTAATATATAAGAAGGGGTGGAAGGCATAGAAATAAAGATAAATTATATGTGAAGATTTTGTCAGCCTAAATTGTTGTCCACACAGGAGGATAAGATTTTACAAAGAAGGAATCTATTAGAATGATTAAAAAAAAAAGTAAGGCCATTGTCTTAACAATTGACGTAATGAATTTTATAAATTAAAATAATTATTTAACAAATTATAAATCGATTTAATATAATTAGTTAAATAGTTAACAAACAATATAAGGACTATCAAGTAATGTTAGGACATTAATAAGCAATGTAACGTTTTTAATATGCACGACTTAAAACAACAATTTAGCAAGTTATGAGTTTAATGGGCTTGATGTTACATATTTAATAAGTAATGTAAGGTATTTAAAAAGTTATATGTTAGTGGTGATCCGCATTCTATTTCTTTATTTTTATTAAGAGCATTTTAGTTTTTTTCCCCTAAAAAATTACTTTCATTTCAATCTCAATAGATCCTGATTTTTAATTATGTCACATGGTTGTGATATGAAATTCTCCCTTCAAATAATTTGTTCCAAGTTTGTCCTATTAATTGACCTAAACGTTGGCCCAACAAAAAAAAAAAAAAAACAAAGACCTAAACAGTGCACGGCTTCCGTCACCATTTTCTATCTCTGTTGCTAGCTCGGATTCCAACACCACCAAATAATTGATTAATGATTTAATTCCATGTCCTTTTCCCTTGTCATAACATCGAACTTTCCCGGAAGACCAATATTCTCATTTTTAACTATTCAGGCCTCTTGGGTCTAGGTGAAATTGGAACATTAAAACTTGCTATGTTTAAAAATTAAAAATATTTTTTAAAAAGTTAAATGTTTAAAAATATAGAGATATTTTTAATCTTTTAAAATATAATCATTACTTTTTTTTAAAAGTGCTCTTATTGATAATAGTTTTATATTTATTATAGAGTGTTTAATATGGGTAAATGTAAAAAAATATGATTAGTTAGAAAGTAGGTAATTACTTTATTGAAGGATGAGATTTAGTTAAAAATGTTTTATATTTTTAAATGAAGAGAGTATGTATCAAAAGAATGAGAAAGACACCAAACTTTGAACCATTCTTGAGTCATTTAATTTTAATATACCCTCAAGTTCCGTCAACAATTATCAACATAATTAACAATTAAACAACTTTTTTTTTTTTACAATTTAAGATATTAAATCCAACAATTTCCTTAAACAACGTCGAGTTCTGGGAAAAAATTATACAAAAGATATGGGTATGAAATAGAAATGTAAAGAGATAACAATAATACTTAAATCCCAAAAAATCAATGTAATAACAGTTAGGCTACACTGTCTCTCTCTTTTTTAAATGAGTCGTTAATAAGCGTTCAAATATTTATAAATATGAAAGTATTAATTACAAATTAATAATTTAAGTCTTATAGGTTACTCTTAATTATATGTAACTAAAATTACCATATTGTTATTCACTGATCTCTTAAGACCTAAGCATATATCATCCCCCCACATGTAAGCTACGACCAAACTATAAAATTGGACAAAATTTGACAAAATTTTCAATTACAGATAAAAAAGTGAAAGATTTTTTTAAGCGGCAGGTAAAACTATGTTCGAAACTCATAGGAAGAAAAATAAAATAAAACTCATTCACTTTCTAATCACTATTAGCCACAACTCTTATTTATAAAAATATTTCCGTCTCTATTCTCTATTAATCGGTGCAAAATATGTCATGTAGTAAACATTGTTTAATTTACACTGGTGAGTGAAGTTGGGGAGACAGCTTGGTGTTACGTTGTGCAAATGAATTCTTTAATTAATTGACGACTTTTTTTTTTTAAAAAAAAGCATATTATTATCATTTCGCATATAAATTTATTTACATGTTATTTTTAGATCCTAGTGTAAAATCATATTCTTTTAGTCTATTTTGTAAAATAAAAAAAAGAGTATATAGAGATCATCCTGTATTATTTTCTCGAAAAATAATATGTCATCAGCATTATTAACAATAAAACAAGGGGGGGGGGGGGTAGGCGTATAAATTAAAGTGGGGGAAAACAAGTTGGAACTGGTTTCCCTCTTGGTGCTCATTGAGATCTGGAATATACAAATTTTGATCTTAACGGTTTAAATTTAAAATATTATTATATATCATATTTAATAAAATATAAAAATTATAAAATAATTTTAATATTTTTTTATTTTTAACATGATTTAGATTCAATTTATAAAGTTTAATTTAATATTAAATTTTTTATAATTGATATATATTGATTATTTATATATATTCTGCATGCACAGTATACCTGGAGTAATTTTATAATTTTTATTTTAATAAATATAAAATAAAAATATGTAATAATATTTTAAATCTGAACTATTCAATGATATAAATCTCACCACTCACCCCTGTAATGATCAGGTACCAATTAGGAACAAGATGAAAGTCCAAATTCTGTGCTCATCACTGAGTCCATTGGTTGATTTGGATCTTTCACTTTATTCTGAAAATAATTTCTATCATTTATTTTAAATTAATTTTTAAAATAATATTTATTAAATTAAAATTTATAAAAATATACTTTTAATAAATATATTGATCACCAATATGATCAGTATATATTTAACTTAATCAGTTTAATTTAATATTAAAACTTTTTATAATTTTTATAAATTAACTATTCAATTATAATATGTACAATACAAAAATAATGTAGATAGATAATTCGATTTAATATTAAATTTTTTTATAAATTTTATTTTTATAAATGAATAGTAGAGATAATTTCAAAATAAAATAGGAGGTCTTGGTCAACCCGTCGTATACTAGATGCATCGAATGCGGACTCTAAGATGGGCAAGCACACAAATATATAGCCAGAGGGGGCTATCAGCTATGCACTGTGTCGGAGTCTGGGTTTCTGGAGCAGAAGGTACAGATGATAGCAGAGGCGTTTGTTTTGAAGCTTTTATTCAAGGAGTTATGGAAGAAGGTGGAGAAGGGTGTGAAGCACGAGAGCACAGCTCAAAACCTGAAGGCGAAGGAGAAGGAATTGAGTCCAGAGTTTGAGGAACTTGAAGAACTGGCCAGGAAGGCGAACATCCCGTCGGAGAAAACAGAGGAACTACGGAAGGCGATGACACAACTGCGAGAAGCTCGTCTCAACTACTCTCAAATTCAATGGTGGTGTTATTGCTGCCTGGCGCCATGTTACCAGGAGGAACTCGAGAAAGCAGACAAGAAGATGAAAGATTTCTTATCGGAGCGGTTGCCGTTGGAGAATTCAAAGCATCTGCTCTTGATCCTCTGCCTGCTGCAAACGAAGGCAGCAGATCAGACCGATCGTGACATTGGGCAACCAGAAATACTAAGGAGTGGCGATCTTGACAAAATCTCAGAGTCTACACTGCCACTGAATGCTCCATTGATGAAAAAATTGAAGGCTTGCCTCATGATGGAAGGGCGTGATAGCATCCTTAACTTGACTGGTTTTGCCGGCTCCGGGAAGACCACCTTCGCTCAACGGCTCTGTTGTGATAAGGATGTCCGAGGTAACGCCCTTCTCTTTTCGGGTTGACCATTCTGCTTTCTTTGCCAGTCATCCTCTTCCTAATTTTTAATTATTACATCAATGCTTGAATCCTTCAAATTTTATTTCCTACAAAATATTCATTTTATTTTTTCACTACATTTTTCTAATTATTCATATTAAATTGTTAATTATTTAAATTTTATTATTTTATACTTTTATAAATTATTATTTTAATAATAATTTTATAAGAAATTAAATATAAATAATTCAGTCTTGGTTCTCCTCTCTTACTTGAGAGTGATCGTGATAAGCACTTAAACTGTTCCAATTTTTAATTTAAACCATCTATATTTATAAAATTAATTTTCTTATTTTTAGTTTATATTTATTATAAAAATTATAAAATTTTTATAAATTTATTTTATTATCAATTTAAATAATAAAAATTTAATATGAATAATTTAATTTAATATTATTTTTTATAAATTTTCATAAATCGACTGTCCAAATATACTCTGAACAAACTAGATTCAAAGTAAATTTAAATAGTCAAATTATAAAATTTTTAAAATAATATTAAATTAGACTATCTAAATTAAATCTACATTATCCAAATTGATCATAAAATAGATTTATTAAAATGTTATATTTTAATAAATATATAATAAAATATAGGGTAAATATAACTTTTGGTTCCTATACTTTATTTACATCTTGCTTTTGATCCATATACTTTTTTTTTAATATTTTAGATCTCTACACTTTTATTTTTTATTGTTTTAGATCCTTTCAAGGTCTTTATATTTTGCTCCTAGAGGGACTAAAAATAATAAAAAATAAAAATATAGGAACGTAAAACATAAAAAGTATAGAAACTAAAAGTAAAACGTGAGTAAAGTATAAGAATTAAAAGTTATATTTATCCTAAAATATAAAATAAAATTGGTGAATCTAGAACTTTTAGAAATTGCTTATCAGGGGATGAGTACATTGCTCATCACATGATGAGCACCAAACTAAATGCCCAGTCTGCCACATACCTAGATTGGGTGCTCATCATAGTATGGGCACCTGTGATTAGATCTGAACCATCTAAATTTTTAATTTAAATGATCTATATTTAAAGTATTATTATATATGTTTATTTTTATATTTATTAAAATAAAAATTTATAAAAATTAAAAAATAATTTAATAATTTTTTTATTTTTAAATGGTCTACATGTAATTTAGAATATCCAATTTAATATTAAAATTTTTATAATTAATATATATTGACTATCCAAATTACTCTATACAGTCTAGATTAATTTAGACCATATTAAAACTGAAATTTATTAAATTTATTTTATAATTTTATTTAATAAATGTAATATATAATAATATTTTAAATTTAAATCATTCACACTTTTAATTTGAATGACTCAGACCTCATTATAATAATGAGCATCCAAATCAGGTTTGTCTGCCACATAGGGCACTTTTTTTTGCCCTTTAGAAATTAGTTATCTTTATATGGAGAGAAAATTTTTTTAAAAAAGAAAAATAATAATAAAATCTCTTTAAAATATATAAATAATAATTTATTCCTTAAAATGCAATAATTTCATTGAAGTCTCTAAGAACTTTTTTATCATTAATAAATTTATATAAATGATTAAATTATCTTTATTGAAAATAAAATAATTTACAAGTTTTGATTAAATAATCACAACTTGCTTTCTTATATTCGTAATAATATAACAGCAAATCAAAAATTTAATATGCAAAGTTGTAATATACTGTTGCATTATTGTAAATATAAGAAAAAAGTTGTAATTATTGAAACAAAACTTGTGAATCATTTTATTTTCAACAAGAGAAATTTGGCCATTTATATGAATTCATTAATGACAGAAAAATTCTTAAAAACTTTAGTAAAATTATTGTATTTTGAGGGGTCAAATTATTATTCATATATATTTCAGAGAAATTTTATTATCATTTTCTTAAAAAAAAGAAAGATAAAGGTGGCGGCCTCCAAGAGATGCATTATCTACTTGTGCTTTTTGTAACACCCTCAAATTTACAAACTGATTTTTCGCAAATTATTAATTCAAGAAATCATTTTTTTTCATTAAACACTTATCATGGTAGAAAAATTTCTACCATGATACATCCAAGACAATATACCACAGGTCTTAAAATATCTCAAAAAGCAATTAGAACCATGAGAGACAGACATGATCCTCATAGCATGTTATTTAAATTAGGTCATGAATCAAAAGGGACAGACATAATCCTTTTGGACATATAAATGCATTTAATAAAAAGGATTAGAGTTTACATGCTCCATAGACAAGATATGTCCTAAGTTGGCACAAGATACATTGTATAATTCAAAATAAGAGGCAACGTAAAAGATGGTGTCTCATACACCATAATTACACCTCTGGTGCTTTCTCGGCCGGATTCGCTCCTGTAAAAATATTAACCACGGGGAATGAGACTTAAGAGTCCCAGTAACCAAAAATTAATATGTAATGATGCATGCGGATGTAACTAATCATGCGATTGCTAAGTGGGCACACAAAACATTTAACCAAACAATATTTTCAAACAAACCGAACAAGTATTTAATTGCATGACTGCACCTTATCTCCTCCTTTCACCATGCTCGGACGCCAAATCACCCGGCCAAAGGTGAGTTGGACCAAGCGACACGCCACTCATTGGGTCCAATGAGGACTTACCACGTGGTAATAATTAACCGAACAGAAATTCCATTAACACCATACATTAAAATACCCTGACAAGTCATGCATCATTCAAGTATCCAAACAGGAATATATCCGAACAATAATATCTCATCATGATAAATAAAAATAAATTTTTAACCCACTTGGCAATAATTTCAAATAAGTATATACAGTATTTATTTTCAATAATTCATAATTTTTCCAAACAACAAAACAACACATAACCATTCACAAACACACTCATTACAACACATTAATAATGGTTACCTTGTGTCTTGAATAACAAGTTCCCCTTCACAACTCCTTTTTCACCACTATCTTTGTCAATATAATCTACATAATTATTTCACAATACTATATATTAATTTTACATTAAAATAAATAACTCTAATTTAAAGAGTTAGAAAGTCTTAGATCTATAGTCCATATTAACACTAATTTAAGATTTATGCCTCATTTAACTTTTTAAATTCTTTTCTAAAATTCTCGTACCCTAATGAACTATTTTTTTTATCCTCAATTCACTTCTAGTATCACAATTTCATCCTTCTATATTCTAAAAATTCATCCAAAAATAAATTAAAAATTTTAGAATTATTCTGAAGCCTCAAATCACCTTTCTATAACCTCAAAAATACCTATTCATACTTAAATAAATATTTAATAATCATAGGTTTATCCCTACGTCTCAGATTCCACATATATTCAACCATATAGATCTAGATTTTAACTCAAAAATTCTTAAACATGAGTTTCAACCTTAAAAAAATATTCTATAATATTTTTTATATCCCTAAAATTTTAACCTATATTTTTAATCCATCATATCATCAGATTAACTATCCTATAGAAAAATCCTAATCAAAATATTTACTCTATCCTACAAAATAATCATATCACTAGAAAGCTAATATTATTTAGAAAATAACTATAAAATTAATTTTGTAATTAAATAAATTTTTAAATGCTAATCTAAACAGGAAAGTTAGAACATACCTGAAGAAAAAGAAAATAATCCCCCATTGTGAGAAAACGCCGAGCAACGTGAGAGGAAGAGAGAAAAATAATATAAAAATGGAATTGTGAGTCCCAAAATTATATTAAAAAAAATTATAGGTTTGAATTTAATTATTCAAACCTTTGGGCCAAAAGTTGCAATTTTCTCTAAATTGCATCTTAGCCTCTCATGCTTCCTAATGCACACACCCCCTCCTTTTTATACATGAAGGCACCTCTTCTCTTCCCTCATCTAACCAATGTGGGACTTAGAAACAACAACCTTCCACCCCTTTTTTTTTGTTCCTCCTACCTTTTCTCTTTTTTTTTTCAACACATACATAAAAAAAATTATTTATGTATTATATCTTAACTAAATATTGCTTATGTGGTTTTAAATTTAAATTTTTAAATTCATAATTAAATACCTAACCATAATATTATTTCTAAATAACCTCAAATAATATAAATTCCTATTATTATCATTTTTTTTTCTCAAAACCTAAATTTCACAATTTCTTTATTATATAAAAAATCAGGATGTTACAATTCTCCCCTCCTTTTAGAGATTTTGTCCTCAAAATTTAATAGATAAGCATAGAAACTATGTACCTAAGCAAATAAATGTGGATAATTCGCCTCATACTCTCCTCGGTTTCCCAAGTAGCATCACCTAGGGCTCCACCCTTCCAAATCACCTTCACGAGTCGGATGGTCTTATTGCGTAGTTGTTTGTCCTTAAAGTCCTCAATTCGCTTCGGTTCGGATCTAAAGGTCAAATTCTCCCTCAATTCTACTTCTTCAGGTTCAATAACATGGGAGGGATCCGGGTTGTACTTCTTCAACTGTGATACGTGGAACACATTATGGATACCTGCAATCTGTGGAGGTAATGCAACTCTATATGCAGTAGATCCAATTCGCTCCAAGATCTCATACGGGCCCATAAATCTAGGTGTCAACTTCTTTGCCTTAATGGATCTACCAATGCCTGTCACTGGAGAAACCTTTAAAAATACATGATCTCCTACTTCAAACTCTAACGGCCGTATCCTCTTATCAGCATAGCTCTTCTGTCGGCTCTGAGCGGTTAGCAATTTTTGCTTAATCATTGCAATCTTCTGGGTGGTTTGCTCTACAATTTCTGGACCAATGATACTCCTCTCACTTAATTCTGTCCAACACAAAGGCGATCTACACTTCCTTCCATACAAGGCCTCATAAGGCGCCATCCCAATACTAGAATGATAGCTGTTATTATAGGCAAATTCAGCTAATGGCAAATGATTATCCCAACTACCTGGTAGTTCAATGGCACAAGCTCTCAACATGTCCTCCAAAGTCTGGATCGTCCTCTCTGTTTGTCCATCTGTTTGGGGGTGGTATGCGGTGCTAAAACTCAGTCTGGTACCCATAGCCTTCTGTAGCGCACCCCAAAAGTTTGAAGTGAACCTTGGGTCACGATCTGACACAATTCTAGAGGGTATACCATGAAGTCTAACTATCTCCTTAATGTATATCTCAGCAAATTTCTCTAATGTAGAGGTAAACTTGATCGCCAAAAAGTGAGCTGATTTGGTGAGTCGGTCTACTATCACCCAAATAGCATCCTTACTCGAGGGTGTTCTTGGCAGTCCAGTGATGAAATCCATGGAAATATCATCCCATTTTCACTTTGGAATATCTAACGGTTGCAGTGTTCCAGCTGGCTTCTGATGTTCTATCTTTATCTTCTGACACGTTAAACATCTAGAAACAAATTCAGTTATATCTTTCTTCATTCCTGGCCACCACCAACCTCGCTTCAAATCATGGTACATTTTAGTTATACCGGGATGAATTGTATATTTGCTCCTATGAGCTTCTTCTAAAAGGATATTCCTCAATCTTGGATCATTAGGTACACAAACTCTACCTTTATACTTCATCACTGTGTCTTCAGAGATGGTAAAATTTGGGGCCTTACCTACCACTATCTCCTTCCTTATATTCCTTAAGTAGTCATCACTCTGCTGTGAGACTCTGAGATCTTCCCAGAATTTGCTCTCAAAGTCTGCTACCTGGAGTGCGGCCATTTGATGTTCAATCACATCTATTGGAACATCATGAAAACTGTTCCACAAATGATATTCATGAACCATCAAATGTGCAGCATGAATAGTCTTTCTACTTAAGGCGTCAGCTACCACGTTAGCCTTACCGGATGGTAATGTAATTCAAAGTCATAATCCTTGAGAAATTCCATCCATCGTCGCTGCCTCATATTAAGCTCTTTTTGATCAAATAAATACTTCAGGCTCTTATGGTCACTGAAGATTTGAAACTTAGATCCATACAAGTAGTGTCTCCATATCTTCAGAGCAAACACAACTGCAGCTAACTCCAAATCATGAGTAGGGTAATTTTCCTTGTGTGGTCTCAACTGTCTGGAGGAATAGGCAACCACTCGGTCATTTTGCATCAAAACACATCCTAAACCCTTTAAAGAAGCATCAGTGTACAGAGTGTACGGCACCACAGGGTCAGGAATAGTCAATACTGGAGTAGTGGTTAACCTCTTTTTCAATTCTTGGAAAGCAGCTTCACATTTGTCAGTCCAAATAAATGGGGCATCCTTCTTAGTCAGCTTAGTTAAGGGCATCGCAATTTGCGAAAATCCCTTAATAAAGCGACGATAATAACCTGCTAAACCTAAAAAGCTTCGTATCTCTGTAACAGATTTTGGCTGTTCCCACTTCATCACTGCATCAATCTTGCTAGGATCCACCGCAACTCCGTCTCTGGACACAACATGGCCCAAAAACTTTACTTCTTGGAGCCAAAATTCACACTTGTTTAATTTGGCATAAAGCTTATGTTCCCTCAAAACTTGCAAGACGATTCTTAAATGTTCACCATGAGCCTCCTCATCCTTTGAATAAATAAGAATGTCATCAATAAACACTACTACAAACTTATCTAAATAGGGTGAAAGATCCTATTCATGTAATCCATGAATACCGCAGGAGCATTCGTAAGTCCAAACGGCATCACCATGAATTCATAATGCCCATATTCGTCCGAAATGCTGTCTTAGGTATATCCTCTGCTCTTACTCTCAATTGGTGGTACCCTGACCTTAAGTCAATCTTTGAGAAAACTGCGGATCCCACAAGCTGATCCAGCAAATCATCGATTCTCGGAAGTGGATATTTGTTCTTGATGGTTACTTTGTTCAATTGTCTATAATCAATGCACAATCGGAGGCTTCCGTCCTTCTTCTTTACAAAAAGGACTGGAGATCCCCAAGGTGAAACACTCGGTCTGATGAAACCCTTCTCAAGTAGCTCTTCAATTTGCTTTTTCAGTTCCGCTAACTCTGAAGGGGACATCCGATAAGGAGCCTTAGAAATTGGCCCTATACCGGGTACCAATTCAATTGAGAATTCTACCTCGTGCTTTGGGGGTAAACCGGAGACTTCGTCTGGAAATACATCCGCAAATTCTTTGACAATTGGGATATTCTTCATGCCTTCATCAATCTCAGCTTGGATAGAGAAGAAAACCATGTAGGCCTGGCAACCCTTCTTCATACATCTATCAACTTGCGCCGCCGACAAGAAAACATGATCTTGAGTCTCGACTGGGGTCACCGACAAAGAAGATAAAGACACACTCCTCTCTCTACAATCTAGGATAGCACCATTTGCAGCCATCCAATTCATTCCCACAATTACATCCATACCTCTCAGTGGTAGGATAATTAAGTCCATAGTTGTTTTCCTATTTTTAAACTCGACTACTAGGTTAAGGCATGCCTTAGCGGTCCTCACAGATTCTCCCGCAGGAGTAGACACATTCATATCAAAAGGTAAAATACACACAGGCAAATCAAGGTTCTTTACACAAGTTTCAGAAATAAAAGAGTGTGTAGCACCCGAATCAAATAGTGCAACAATATCATGATAAAGGATTTTGATGTTACCTCTAATGGCATCTGGGGAGTTCATGGTGTCCTGAGTAAGAGCAAACACACGACCAGAGACAGTAGGATGTTGGGAAGGGTTCTTCATATTTGAGCCCTGGTTGTCCTCACAAAACTTTGCAATGTGACCGGGTTTCCCACAAATGTAACAGACCCAGCACTGTCCGAAATGACGACGCCCGCACTTAGTGCACTGTTGAGAGCTCGCTGTACTCGGGGCAGGGGTAGATACTGTTGGGCTCCTCTGTGACCCGTGATAACTACTATGATAGCTCCTCTGTCCTTGGCCCCTTTGAAAAGGACCCTTCTGCCTTCCTTGGTTCCATGAGCTACTCGAACCCTGATGGTTTTTCTTCATAATGCCTCCGGTGGGTCGAGGGTAGGTTGGGGGTCTACTATATGAATAACCCCTCTTCTCTCTCTCGACCTCCTTCTTACTGCGAGCTACTACTTGTAGTTTTATGCACATTTCATCATAATCTCGGATATCTAGATGAGCCAATTGTTCCCTCAATTCTGGTCTAGCCTTCTCCAATAAGCGCTTAGCCTTCCATTCGGAATCATCCCTATACTGCAGGTACGTGGAGTATCTAGATAACTCCTGAAACTTAGCAATGAATGTGTCCTCATCGAGGTTCCCTTGTTTAAAGGCATGGAATTCCGCTTCCTTCTCAGACCTTAACTCTGATGGAAAGTAATGCCTGAATAATTTTTCCTTGAATTCCTCCCAGGTGAGTGTAGAATCATCCCTGGGCCCTGCTGTCTCCCACCAATCTCTTGCTCCTTTCACTAGGAGCACTAATGCTACTTGTACTTTCTGATTGCTGGTGCATGTGACTACTCGAAAGATGGACTCGAGTCTCTTCACCCATTCCTCAACCACGGATGGTTTAAGGTTACCATCAAACGTAGGAGGGTTAAACTTCCTAATAGTTTCCCACACATCAGTAATGGTCGGTGGGGCTCTCTGTTCCTCCTGCCTAATTTTCTCCCTTCTAGACTCATGATCTCTCGGAGTGGCAGGATGTGAGGAACTGCCTTCCCCCACATGACTCTCAACATGAGCCCTATCTCCATTTTCAGTTACCTTTTGCCTCTTTAGCTCCGTCAACTCTTGTTCGTATCCTTAAACCTTGTCTGTTAATGTTTTTACAAGCATTCTCAATTCCGCCAAGTCAGGCTCCTCATTTGGCAGTGGCGGTGGCAGGTGCTCATGTTGGAATCCTGAGTTACCACGAGTAACAGGCATTTTCTCTCTCCTCCTAAAGGATACAAGATATAAATAATAAAATTAGCCTAGCTATATAATGGCCATATAATGAGAAGCACCATGACAATGTATATTGCCAACCGACTATATGCAATGCACCACACATAATAAATACATATTAAATTCACACAAATAATAGTTTCAAACAAAAGTTTAAATAAGTGTTACTAAAATAGAGGCTCGAAACATGATGCTCTGATACCAATATGTAACACCCTCAAATTTACAAACTGATTTTTCGCAAATTATTAATTCAAGAAATCATTTTTTTTTCATTAAACCCTTATCATACCCTTATCATGGTAGAAAAATTTCTACCATGATACATCCAAGACAATATACCACAGGTCTTAAAATATCTCAAAAAGCAATTAGAACCATGAGAGACAGACATGATCCTCATAGCATGTTATTTAAATTAGGTCATGAATCAAAAGGGACAGACATAATCCTTTTGGACATATAAATGCATTTAATAAAAAGGATTAGAGTTTACATGCTCCATAGACAAGATATGTCCTAAGTTGGCACAAGATACATTGTATAATTCAAAATAAGAGGCAACGTAAAAGATGGTGTCTCATACACCATAATTACACCTCTGGTGCTTTCTCGGCCGGATTCGCTCCTGTAAAAATATTAACCACGGGGAATGAGACTTAAGAGTCCCAGTAACCAAAAATTAATATGTAATGATGCATGCGGATGTAACTAATCATGCGATTGCTAAGTGGGCACACAAAACATTTAACCAACAATATTTTCAAACAAACCGAACAAGTATTTAATTGCATGACTGCACCTTATCTCCTCCTTTCACCATGCTCGGACGCCAAATCACCCGGCCAAAGGTGAGTTGGACCAAGCGACACGCCACTCATTGGGTCCAATGAGGGCTTACCACGTGGTAATAATTAACCGAACAGAAATTCCCATTAACACCATACATTAAAATACCCTGACAAGTCATGCATCATTCAAGTATCCAAACAGGAATATATCCGAACAATAATATCTCATCATGATAAATAAAAAATAAATTTTTAACCCACTTGGCAATAATTTCAAATAAGTATATACAGTATTTATTTTCAATAATTCATAATTTTTCCAAACAACAAAACAACACATAACCATTCACAAACACACTCATTACAACACATTAATAATGGTTACCTTGTGTCTTGAATAACAAGTTCCCCTTCACAACTCCTTTTTCACCACTATCTTTGTCAATATAATCTACATAATTATTTCACAATACTATATATTAATTTTACATTAAAATAAATAACTCTAATTTAAAGAGTTAGAAAGTCTTAGATCTATAGTCCATATTAACACTAATTTAAGATTTATGCCTCATTTAACTTTCCAAATTCTTTTCTAAAATTCTTGTACCCTAATGAACTATTTTTTTTATCCTCAATTCACTTCTAGTATCACAATTTCATCCTTCTATATTCTAAAAATTCATCCAAAAATAAATTAAAAATTTTAGAATTATTCTGAAGCCTCAAATCTCCTTTCTATAACCTCAAAAATACCTATTCATACTTAAATAAATATTTAATAATCATAGGTTTATCCCTACGTCTCAGATTCCACATATATTCAACCATATAGATCTAGATTTTAACTCAAAAATTCTTAAACATGAGTTTCAACCTTAAAAAAATATTCTATAATATTTTTTATATCCCTAAGAATTTTAACCTATATTTTTAATCCATCATATCATCAGATTAACTATCCTATAGAAAAATCCTAATCAAAATATTTACTCTATCCTATAAAATAATCATATCACTAGAAAGCTAATATTATTTAGAAAATAACTATAAAATTAATTTTGTAATTAAATAAATTTTTAAATGCTAATCTAAACAGGAAAGTTAGAACATACCTGAAGAAAAAGAAAATAATCCCCCTTGTGAGAAAACGCCGAGCAACGTGAGAGGAAGAGAGAAAAATAATATAAAAATAGAATTGTGAGTCCCAAAATTATATTAAAAAAAACTATAGGTTTGAATTTAATTATTCAAACCTTTGGGCCAAAAGTTGCAATTTTCTCTAAATTGCATCTTAGCCTCTCATGCTTCCTAATGCACACACCCCCTCCTTTTTATACATGAAGGCACCTCTTCTCTTCCCTCATCTAACCAATGTGGGACTTAGAAACAACAACCTTCCACCCCCTTTTTTTTGTTCCTCCTACCTTTTCTCTTTTTTTTTCAACACATACATAAAAAAAATTATTTATGTATTATATCTTAACTAAATATTGCTTATGTGGTTTTAAATTTAAATTTTTAAATTCATAATTAAATACCTAACCATAATATTATTTCTAAATAACCTTAAATAATATAAATTCCTATTATTATCATTTTTTTTTTCTCAAAACCTAAATTCCACAATTTCTTTATTATATAAAAAATCAGGATGTTACACTTTTCATTCCATTTTCTCTTTTCCTATTTTTTATCCAAATAAATTTAAAATAAATTTTTATTAGTACTAACAAGTCCGATTGAGAAATTAACAAATAAAGTTATATGATTAATAAGTAAAATATTTTTGTTAAGGGAGTTAGGGATTTACCAAGTAAAGTCAAATAATTAATAAGTTCATTGAAGAATTAATAAGTAATATTATGCGATAAATAAATAATGTAATAATTAAAAGGCTTGAAAATAAAATTTATTTTATATATAATTTTATGCATTATAAGTTTTAACAAGTTCAATGCTGTTAATGGTATTTTGGCAATGGTGGCTAGTAATTTTTCCTTTTTTTTTAAAATAAATGAAGAATATTTTGCCCATGTCTTTTAAAATTTTTTTAATTTAACCTTTTAACCTTGCAATGTAGTTTCAGATTTTGTTAGGTTTGATTTCTAAATGAGTCACATGTTCTGTCCTTAAATAAAAATCTCCCTTTACTTTTTCCTTTTCCTTCCTTTTTCTTTTTTTTCCCATTTTTAACCCAAACAAATTTAAAACATATTATTATATATTCCGTTTTAACAATTTACCTTACAAATTAGATTAGAAGGGTATTGTTAACAAAACTAACATATTTATCTGTCTTTATTATTAAGAACTTTTTTTAAAAAAATTAACCATTTTTAATATAAAGCACTTGATGAGATATTAATCATATTTTTCTAATATTACTTATATTTAGATTTATTAATTATGAGAGAGAATATAATATAAATTTAAAATTATTTTATTTATATATGGAAAAAATTAAAATTTTTTTAAACAAAGTTAATGGTTTAATTATCTTCCTTGGTTCCAGTAAAATGGTTAAAAGTGATGGATCTACTTGTATTATAGAGGGAGCAACTGCCCTCACGAGCATAGAAAAAAAATACATATAATGACCCTAAATATTTCATTTGCTGCCATTCAAAAATTTCAGCTGCCCTACCCCCTCAATAAAGAAAAGAAAATTCATGTGGTCCTATTAAAAATTTCACTAATTTTTTAAAAAGTTTACTTGACCAAGATCTTATTTATGTATTTTAACATTAAATAGAAAGATTTCTAAAAAGAAGGGAGCAATAGTTTAAAAAATAATTTTCTCTAATTATAGGTTTAAATTGAAAATTTTATTACAAAAAGTATAGTATACGAAAGAGTTAACTGATGTTGGCATAGAAAAGTTTAGATGCATGACATAAATTTTAAAAGATCATGAACTAAGTTTTTATTTATTGAACTCACCTTTATTGATTAAAACTCAAGAAATTTAAGTTTTATTAATTAAAATGAAAAGCAGAATTCTAATATATATAATTTTATGTTATTATAATTTTTATATTTTATGTATAGTTCTTTAATAGCATTTAATTTTAATAAATTTTATATTTAATATAATTTAATAAAAATTATAATTAATTTAGTGATAATATTAATATTTATCTTATGACAAATTTTGCCCCCCATAAACTAATTTTTCTGAATCTGTCACTGGACTGGACATCTTTTTTACCAATAATGAATCTAGTTTCATTAATTCATGTTCATGAGGTCCTACATAGATATATAAATATAATAATGAATTGCAAAACGATGTTAAGGAGTGATTCAAAATGTCATTGTTTTTTGGATGAACAGGTTGGTTCAACGACATCATGTTCGTGTCCGTAGGTTCGATTATTGAGAGCACTGGAGATATTCTAGTGAAGCGTTTAAAAGATGAGTTGCATGGAAATGAAAATAGAAAGGCGGTGTTGCTGGTGCTGGATAACGTTGAGAGTAGTGGCTCAGAAGAGTTCGTTAACCAGTGTTTGAAGGAAATATCATCAAATTCTAAGTCGAAGATTTTGGTGACTTCAAGAGCTGCTATCCAAGGTTTAAACTCCGCAGAGCACATGCCGCTACTTGGTGAGGACGACGCGATCACTCTTTTAAGTCACTTTGTTCAGCCAATAGGCACCACCTCGTACAATCTTCCCAGCCATAGTACTCTCCGCCAGGTATGCATACATAAACAGCGACAAAATCCTTGTAGAAGCAAATGCTAGTCTGTTTCCTTTGTCAAGAGTTATAAATTTATCGCAGGTAGCGAGAGGTTGTGGAGGTTTTCCGATAATGATCAAAATAATTGGCACTGATCTCCGGGGCAAGCCCATTATATTTTGGCACCGTTTATTGAAAGAATGGTCCCAGCAAGGTCACCAAGGCTTGTTCGCTCATCTACAGAGTTCCTTGAGTATTTCCAGAGATTTTGAAAGCACCAGTAAATTCTTCATGGACCTTGGCTTATTCCCTCAAAATCAAGTCATTCCCGTAGCTGCCTTAGTCGACATGTGGGTCGAACTTTACCAACAAGACGAGGACGGCACAGATGCCATGATCCACATCTACCATTTGACAGCCATGAATTTGGCTGACATGGTACTTGTCAGGTTAGTTTACGTACTAATACTGTTGTAGCATCATCATTATTAAATTACTAGTGATCTGTCCTCAGTAGTATGGGTTTTGATTGCTCATTTCATGTATATCCAGGCGAATTGGTAGCGATGAAGACAATTACTACGATAACCACTACCTAACCCAGCATTATATTCTCAGACATCTGGCTCGCAAATATTCACGCCAACAGGAGGAAGCATTCGAGAGGGAAAGATTAGATATTGGAATATATGGAAATGATCGACCTGAATGGTGGCCAGAACAGCCACAGCAAAGGATCAATGACTTGGGACCAACTCTGCAACCAATAGCTGCTCGTATATTATCTATATCAACCGGTTTGTTATTTTTTTCTCTCTCTTTCAACTTTTTTGTTCACTTCTTTTTCTTTGGTTTGTCCTCGATCGTTGTTTAATTTTTCGTCCATGTATGCATGATTGAGGCTATATATTGCAGATCAAGCCGTTACTCCAGGTTGGTGCAACATTCAAGCAGCTCAGGCTGAGGTTCTGATCTTAAATCTCAAGACCTCAGAGTATACATTGCCGGAATTCATTAAGCATATGAGAAACCTGAAAGTTCTTATAGTGATCAATTATGGTTTCCGCCGGTCCACTGAGTTCAAAAACTTCGAGCTGCTACGTTTCCTACAGAGTCTCAGAAGAATCAGATTGCAGCATGTTTCAGTTCCTTGTCTCTTGGAATCGAAGAACTTGCACAAGCTATCACTTTACAAATGTGAAGTGAAGACGGCGTTTGAAAACAGCTCCATGGAATTCTCAAACGCAGTGCCAAATCTAACGGAGTTGAACATTGAGTTTTGTGAAGATTTGGTGAAGTTGCCAGCTGAGATTTGCAATATTGTTACCCTGAAGAAGCTCAGCATCAGTGTTTGCCGCAACTTTTCTGAACTTCCCCGAGAAATTGAGAAGCTTGAGAACTTGGAATTACTGAGGATTAGTTACTCTGATGAGTTTAGGTTTAGTGACTCTGATGAGTTTAAAGACATGCCAGAGCCAATCACAAAGCTGAAGAGATTAAAATTTCTTGATATCTCACACTGCATAAGCCTTAGAAAATTACCAGACGACATTGGTGAGCTGCAAAAACTTAGAAATCTTTATATGTCGGGTTGCCCAATAAAGGAATTGCCAGGCTCCGTCATGAATTTGACGCATCTGAGGAGAGTGATATGCGATGAACATTCATATGGTTTATGGGATGTTATCAAAGGTTTCATAAACTTCGAACTAGACATACAGACAACCGCCAGGGGCGTTACCTTAAGATGGTTCCCGGGAGACTTTGAAGGGGACAAAGAGATTGAGGAAGACATTGATGAAGCCCAGGAAGAATATTTTAATTGATGAATGTAATCTTAAGTTCTGAATAAAAAATATAAGATGATGTAACGAATCCCGCACCCGAAAGTCTCAAGTGCAGTGTGGTTTTTGTAAGTTCAAGAGGCTCTTGTACGTGTTAATATAACATGAGCTTTTCTTTTAGACTTGTATTCATGACATTGGTGGTTTAATAAGTTTAAATAACTTTTTCACTCAACTTGTTAGTTTTTAAGCATGGACTCTTTCTACAAGAAATGTTAGTCATTTCAATCAAATATTCAATAACTAGCAATTAATCTGATGTGTTGCACGGTTTTATGGATTTTGTGTGGTGACAAGCCGAAGTTATTAATAGTATTTAAAAACTCTTTTGTTAAGTATTGTCAAGTGAGTCGCTATCTTTTGGCAGGCTTTTGAAACTGAATCTAAGCTGTAGTAGCCAACTTGAGATAATGGTTGATTGCAGTGCAGACTAACAGACTAATAATTGATCAGAATTCTCAAAAATCACTTGACAGTGAAAGAAGAAAAATAAAGTTTAATCCGAAAGCTTTAAACCTTTTCGATTCTGATTAGATTTTTCATCATTGGCGTAATATATTGTCTAGCAACATATACAAAGAACTTGCGCACTCATCTCTTTCAATCTTTCGGTACCTTGGAGGGTTTAGGAAGATGAGAATTGCTGCTTTGCAAGAGAAAGCATATATTATTCTGAAAGATAGAATTAAGCTTCGCAAACTTAGTGTGCCAAACTCAACTCCCATTTGATGCTAGAATAATTCAATAAATATACAGATATATATAACAAAAGAAGTGATTTTGAGAAAGAAAAATGTCCTTCCTATATTTAATATAATTTATTGAAGTTAAAAAAGAGTAAGAATATATAATATTGAATAATGATGATTCATATATAATATATATATATATATATATATATATGTTGTACAAGAATGTAAAATGAATCTCTTTCCCTATTGTTTGGGTTAAAACTGAAACAATGTCTATTCAAAGACACAATGACTATAGCAGGAACTAGGCCAAGAGAATAAAGCATTAGGCCCAACAAGTAATCCAATAAGGGTGAGGCTGGTCTACATCAGGGCGAAATGATTTGATCAAGTAAGCATGGGTTCTTAAATCCCTTAAGACTCGGAACTACTAGTGACCGTTGCCTCACATGAAACCATGATCTCAATGAGCCCTAAATCTTGTAGGATCATGACTCTCATCCACAGATATTTTAGAAACATGGGCTGGCAGTTACAAACAAGTAACGACAAACTATACATACTATAAATATGAGAACAGCAGCAAGGAATAATATCAAGATCACTAAGAGACAATGTGAAAATATTACAAGCTCCATGCTCCATGTTTAAGTGTACTATTTAATTAGATTTGTTCCATTCTATCTCAACTTCAACCTTTGCATCCGGGTAAATTGAAGCAAGGGAACTCAGGAACCTAATTTTATTTAAGACTTAACATCATGCCTGGTATTTTGATTGGTTTGGTTGATTCATTTCTCGAACGTGAACAATCTTTTGGCATGCCTAATAAGACTCTGTGTATTAAGATGCCTAGACTAAGAAGAGAAAAGAAGGACAAGCAACTGCTCGGTTCTAATGAGCTAGGGGACCATTCTACTAGCATAGAGCTGGAAATCCAAGTTGAAGGGCTTGGAGGACCTGTCATTAGAATGCTAGACAGCACCCAAAATAGGGAGCCAGCTAGTGTAATAACTACAAGCCATAACAGACACCTGACAAGCACCAATGGGGAGACGAGGCCACGTAGGCAAGTGGAACCTGTAGTATCCAGTGGTAGCGCTAGTCAGACATTAAGATTTAATGCCAAACTAGTCTGTAATTATTTGATTATGTCCAATGAGCCAATCTCAGAGGTATTGAAGTGGATTTTGGACTGGATGGATAAGCAAGTTGAAGAAAGTCAGTTCACTTTGGAAGCAGTGAAAAGACATGAAAGAGAATGCCAACAGATAATAATGCAAGCTATCCATAAAGGCATGCAAAATACAGTCGCCTCATTGAGAGGAGGACATGATAAAGCAGGCTCCATCCATGAATCTCTTAGGGGGCAACTCATTAGAGGCCCTTTACACATTATTGCAGGCCCTTGAGGCAGCACATCAGTAAGGAATCCCCTTAACATAAATCAATTCATGCATACTAACCCCTATAATAGTCCTCTCTTTTATGTCTAGGAAAATTTGATGAGTAGCCTAAAAGGCATGGCATTCACCCCATAGTGCTTAAATGACCCTTCTCTTAGAGACTTGATGCTTAATATTGATGCTCTTAGAGAAGTGATAAAGGACATATACAAGCTTGGGCTAAATGGCTAGCTCACATTCACCAAGCCATATCCAAATCACAAAAACCATAAGACTCCCTACCCTAGGGTTTACCGCATTCCAGGCTTCACACTATTCTTAGGAAATGGACACCAATTCACATTGGAGCACATTGGCCGTTTCACCATACAGTGTGGGGAGATAGCCAATTATGATAACTTCAATAATATGAAGCTTAAACTGTTTCTAACTCCCTTACAAGCCATGCCTTTACTTGGTATACTACACTGATACAAAACTTGGTACTTTCTTAGTGTAACATCCTCAATTTCACTAATGCAAAACTTAGTACTTTCTTAGTGTAACATCCTCAATTTTAAACTGAATTAATTAAGTCCAATTAGATTAATTAAATGTATTTGCAAGGTGTGTGGCTAGAGAGGCCTAACAGGTGTGTTTAGTTTTAATTTCAGCCTTAAACGTAGGTTCAAAGGAGAATTAGGTCACCCGGGAATGAGAAGAGGAATAAATCTGAAGAGCAAGATATGTGCCATGAGCCACAGCTGGTGGATCAAGCACCGTGATGCATGCATGCTGAAACACCTGGGGAAGCTCTCTCTATGCCATGCGCTGCAGCGCATAGACATTTTTATGCAAAAATAAACTTGGCTGCAGCTCGCAAAAATGAGGAGAAAGAGAGATATTTGAGAGAGATTCTGAAGAGTTGTGCTAGGGCTTGAGGAAATTGACTATTGAGAGTATTTTAGAGTTCATAAACATTAAAGGTAAGCTTCATATACCTAAATCCTTCTCTTTTCTTCCATTCTCTTAGTGGTAGAAGTTAGGGTTTAGTTGATAATGGTGATTTTTGGTCCATATAGGTTATGAGTCCGAACCCATTGACTTAGATAGAGTTAATGGGACTAGATTGAGCTAATGAAACTTGATATTTATAGAGTTATGATGATTGGTGGTTGAGGGGCACTAAATATCTAAAAATTCCCTATTAATGTGTTAGTTGGAATAATGTGTTTTTGTAATATCTTGAATTTCTAATCCTGTATTAATATGGGATTAGGATTCTGGATAGTGAAGTGTTGTAGTGACTCTTTAGAGTGTTATATGAATAGATATGAGTGGAAGAGTGGAGCGTCAAATCAGAGCGTGTGAGCATAGTGAGGATTCCCCTCACCGTGCCATGTGCCGCGGTGGAGGGTGGATGCACCGTGACACATGGTGTAGAAATCATATTAATTGGGACATGTTTGCTTGTGGAAATAGAAGGGAAGAATAAGAGAGAAGGGTTCAGATGTGGAGAAGGGGCTCACATCTGCTAGAGCAAGCAAAATTAGGAGCAAGGACGACATTTCTAACCTTTTACTTATCGAGTAAGTCTTGTATTGCCTTAACCTCTGATTCTACCCTATTTTCTCTTAGTTTTAACTAGTGAGAAATTGAATTCAAAATTTTTAAGGAGTTGATTTCTTACCCTGTAGTAATAGAAAGGTTATTCGAAACTTAACTAGTACTTTGTAACTAATTTGAGTCAGAACGATAAAGCTTTGAAGCTATAGGCACAATTTAGCCTAATCTAGAGAGAGAATAGTGAGAGAAATTTGGTTAGGTAAAGGTTAAAGCTTGTAATAAGGGCTAATTAGCTGTGATAAGTGTAACCGAGTGTGAATTATGAAATTGATAGTGATTAGGTGCTTAATTATGATAATTGACACTTTTTGTTAATAGTGAAATTGACTTTGGATGCCAATTTTATATAGATTCTAGTGTGTGACATGTAAATAAGCGAAGAGAGGTTTGAGTAAGGAAATTACATGGGTAACCCTTTTTATTGGACAGAAGGGTTGAGGTAATAATATAGTTTATTATGTTTATTAACTATTATAACTGTGTAAAAGTAATTATATAACTGTGATTTAGTTGGTTTTTATGCATGAATTTGGCATTGAAAACAAGTTTAGCATGACATGGATTTATGAAAAGAAAGTTTGAGAATTTTAGTTTTGAATGAATGAATATATATATATATATATATATATATGTTATATATGTTATGTTATGAAAGTATATGGTATAGAAGTATGAAAGAAAGTAGTGAAAATTATGAAAAGAGCATGATCATAGGGGGTGGGAGTTCACCCAGGATATGTGGGGATGTGTGTATGTGGAGAAGTGAGTGAAAAATTCATATGGTCATGCTGGCACCATGGGACATTTGATGCAGCATTATATGGGTTGTTACCATGGGTAATCTGGTACAGCATACTATGAGACTATTATTATAGGACATTTAGGTAGTCTGGCAACTATGTGTGCCCATTAAGGTGAGGTTAAGAGTCAATGATGCCTTTATCACAAGTATGTGAAGAGGAAAATCATAATCCGTAGGTGGGATATATTACATTCAGCCGAGTATTTCTACCACTGAAAGTGAGCTCGGATCAATGAGTGATTAATCTAGTAAAGCCTATAGTTTCGTGTAGGGGAGCATTAGAGGTTCAGTGGCTAGATGATCATACTAGTGTGTATTTATGTAGAAATACTTTAAGAAGATGAAATTTCTTCATGCTTTGCTATATATTTGATATTACCTTAGTTTTGTCACTTTGGCATGGTTCTTTGTGATAATAGACATTTAATGAACTATATTGATTACTGAGATTTTTATCTCATCTGTGGTTATTTATATTTTTTAGGTTTTAGCATTAGTAGGTCAAAAAGGAAGGACATAAGCTAAGTTGACATCTCTCGCCTAAGCCTTTTGTAAGAATTAGTGTAATGAATCTGTAAATTGTTAGTTATGGATGTGTATAGGTTGCCTTAAGATTCAAAACATGTGCATAATTTGTTGAATGTTGTGTTTGTTAGTTTTGAACTCTTTAGCCCTTTATATATATATGAATGGTGAAATGATTGAATGGATTAGTGGATGAATGTATATATTTATGAATATGAGATGTACTTGA